TGCTGCAGCTGGATTCTGCTGCCCTCAGCCTCTGTGGATGCTATCTGACCGATTAACCTCCGCCTCTGAGCTCTGTCTGATTGAGGAAGGCAATGACAGAAAACGCTTGGCCTGTCACATGACTGATCCTTGCTGTCATGAGCCATCGTTTTCTAACTGCAAGCTTTCATTTTCAAAGCCCTGGCATGATTTCAGGAGCTGTAAACCCTCATGTGAGTAAGTGAGCAGTAAGAACTGGCAGTTTTTCAATCTTAAGTCTCTCCAGCTTTAAACCCACATTTAGCTGTGATTTTTTTTTTTTTCTCCTTAAGTTGAACAATTTTTTTTTTTTTTTTTGGTGAATACTTATTTGATAGATAAAATAGGTTGGAGGTGAATTTGACTGAGACACACATGGGTTGGTCCAGTTAGGGCTGACCCTGGAAAAAAAGTCCTATTGGCCCTGACATTAATTCCATAAGTCAGCTAGGAGGTGAGAGAGGAGTAGATGTGTATATAGAGTTCCAGCCTTCCCCAGGACAACCATAGACGCAGAGTTGGGGACATTGAAAGTGCACCTGAGGTTATGAGTCCACAATGCCAGTTTGGACAGACATTACTCTTGATGTCCTAAGGAAGGTCAGGGGACATCTGCTCCAAAGCCTAACTTTGGGGGACACCTTTGGAAGATATCAGGAAGGATATAACATCAGAGAGATTTCTAGTTGCAATACTTAAGTAATTGGGGTTCAGTGCAATGCAGAATTAGCCATTATTGGTGTATTATTAGCTGGACAATGTGATTATTACATTATTTACATTAATGTTTACCAATTAATGTACTCTGGAAACAAAAATGTGACTATAATATGAAGAATTATCCTCCCTGATAGTTTTATTTTGAAATTTGTGTGTCAAATGTTTCACTAATCTCCTTCCATTTAATTATTAGGTTTCAAAACAAATTAGCAAGAGGAGGGGGAGAAACTGCTCACATCACCAGAATGTTACCACTGGCAATGTCGTGAAAGCACGTTGTGGCATCATACTTAGGTTTTGATCACACATCTGTTTTTTTTGTTGTTGTCTTCTCCTTTAGCAAATAATTATTGGCCATCAAATGATAGTAGGGTACCATCTTAGGAAATGGGATGTAAGGAATTCTATAAGGGAAAAAAGCATATTGTTAGTGTATGGAACCTACTTAGAAGACAATTGCAGACACATATGGAAATAATAGTAACTTACACTTATGGAGCTACTCACTATATGCCAAGCTCTGTCCTAAGTGCTTCACATAATAGTAGCTCATTTAATCCTCTCAACAACTGTATGAGGTAGGTACTGTTATCCCTATTTCATGGAAAAGGAAACTGAGGCACAAAGAAATGAAATAAATTGTCTACAGTCACATAGCTAGAAAGTGGTGGAGCCGTGGTTTGAACCCAGGCAGCCTGAATCCAGAATAAAAAAGTAAGTAGGCCGGGCGCTGTGGCTCACGCCTGTAATCCTAGCTCTTGGGAGGCCGAGGCGGGCGGATTGCTCAAGGTCAGGAGTTCAAAACCAGCCTGAGCAAGAGCGAGACCCCGTCTCTACTAGAAAGAAATTAATTGGCCAACTGATATATATAAAAAAAAAAAAAAATTAGCCGGGCATGGTGGCGCATGCCTGTAGTCCCAGCTACTCGGGAGGCTGAGGCAGGAGGATCGCTTGAGCCCAGGAGTTTGAGGTTGCTGTGAGCTAGGCTGACGCCACGGCACTCACTCTAGCCTGGACAACAAAGTGAGACTCTGTCTCAAAAAAAAAAAAAAAAAAAAAAAGTAAGTAGAATCAAGGTGAAACTTAGTTTGCTCTTTTCAAGTTTCCTAAACTTACCATCACCACTAGTGAATTTTGAGTGGTGATTAGTGTGGAATATGAAAGAATAGAAGAGAAATTGGAGTAGAGAGATGGTGAAAGGGAATGAAAAACGAAGAAAGGTGCTGGCATAAGCACTGTAGTGGACCCTGAGATAAGGATTCTGGGAGGGTGGTGTGGTCACCTGGGCCTGTGCTCACCTCTGCTCACCTGGGCCTCAGCAGGGACCAGCAGGCAGAGATGGGCAGTCAGGGAAGGAGGGTGACTGGTGACGAGTTTCTGTCATTCCTCGCCCCGGTTTCCTGCTCCTCATGCTGAGGGTAACCCCGACAGCTCCCTCTGAGCTCCCACTCATCTCAAGGGCACCACCCTTCTACATCTGCCTTTCACTTCCTTCCTGCAGAACCAGAATGGTGTCCTTTCTTTTCAGACCTCTTCCTGCCTCAGAACACTTAGGACAAGCCCACTGTCCTTTATCTAAATCCACGGGGCCAGGTAGATTTGGGCTATTGTAATTTTTCAGATTTTAGGGAGGTAGAAAGGTATATACTGCATAGATAATATTTCTGGTGGGGTCTGGGTCAGCACCCCATAAACAAATACATTCATATTTCTACCATAACACACATGCATAGCCACCCTGAGGTCAATGATGGCTACACAGAACCCCATGTTGAAAGGTCAGGTTTTGCCACCAAAGGTGTTTTGGTGTCAAACATATGAAAAGCTTTTGGTTGCAGAGCTATTTGTATTTTGGAATGGAGGATATTGTGCACCATGTCATCACCAATTCCTTCCACTCCAATCAAGGGCACGAGGATGAAGATGCCAACAAAACTATTCCCACATTTCTTGTGCCGGCTAGGAAGGGGTCTGATTTGGGCTGAGGCTTAATAAGCACAGTTCAAATTTTATTCCAGGTTTTAGTTGGGAAAGTAGGCATTTTGGAAGTAGAGTCAGTATCTACACTTTATACATTCCCTGTAGGTTTGGTGAGCAAAAAGTAATAAAGAAAATACAAACTCAGGAAAGAAAAGATTTTTTTTTTTTAAGGAAAAGATCTATTTACACTACTTAGAAAGGCCTCTACCCTTCTTCCCTTGGGAGTTACTTAGCTTAGCTTGGAGGATCACAGATTAAAGTACAATATAGCGAGTATTATTGAAAACAACCTGTAAAAATGCATTATCCCAAAGATTTAGCAGCTAATTTTCTGTTGCCTTTACTTCTCACATCATTTTTTTTTCCAGTGTATAACCTTCTTTAAATTTTATGATCTGCTCTCAAATTCCTTCTGGGTTTAATGACTAATCTCTTTATTTGTGTTTACCCTGGTGAAGCCTGTAGAAGGAAAATCATAAATTAATGGCATATGTTTGTAGCTACAAACAGGGGACAGATTCAGAAATAGACAAACATACCCAGTAACCTAGATCCTAGAATTGCAATGCTCAACTCCCAATTAACCTTAGATTTACAAGTCTAATCAAAGGCCAGTCCATTTCCACAGGAAAGCTGTGCACACACAGGCTTCCACTTGACCTACATCTTTAGTAAACGTTGGGACGTTAACTCCTTTGTGGAGCCGGTCCTTCTGTTGGATGAAGTCAATGTCCCCTTTTAGGGAACTGAGCTACCGCTTCATGGACTGCAAGGTGTGGTTTGCAAAGGGACAGTCTGTGGCACCTCCTGTATATCCGAGGAGGCCAGTGCTGGCTGCCAACCACAGGCGTGTTCTGTGATAATAGAAGAGTGTGCTGAGTCACTTTGTCCTTGGGTTTCCCTTGGAGACAGTGTTTGATTTTGGAAGATAATAGTAGCAAACATTTATCTACCACCTCTCTGGACCAGCCAGGCATTCTTCTGAGCCCTCTCTACTATGAACTCGTTTCATCTTCTTAACAAACAAAGGGGCAGGAACTATTATAATCACTGTCCAACAGATGAGAAAACTAGGGCACAGAGAGGTTCAGTAAATTGCTCAATGAACATCAGCTAGTGACTAGGGAAGCGGGGCTCTGAACCTGGCAGTCTTTTCCCAGGGTCTATCTATACAACCAGTAAGTCATGCTGCTTCCTGGGATATGGCAAAACCTCCATGGCAAGCTCAATGGTGTGGAATTTGCCACTTGTGCTGCATTAGGACATACTCTCACCTAGTGACTTTAAAACCTGGTGGCTTTGCAAAATCCTTAGGGGTCATGAGAGCCAAAGGGGGCCTGGGACTTCCATATGCCACAGTAAGTCAGTGTTTTAAGTGTTATTTGATAGCACTGAGATTTTATTTGAATAAGGGATTCTGTAGCTCACAAGAAGCTTGGAAACTATAACTCTAAACCAGGGGTCCTCAAACTTTTTAAACAGGGGGCCAGTTCACTGTCCCTCAGACCATTGGAGAGTGTGCACTGTGGGCCCAGGATGAGTTGGCTGCTAAGCAGGACAGGCAGTGGTGGCAAAAACACCAGGAGGGCTGGATAAATGTCCTTGGTGGCCCGCATGTGGCCCGTGGGCCATAGTTTGAGGATACCTGCTCTAAACAATTGATCCAGTTAACTCATGTAGGGCTTATACCAACTACAGAGAGAAATGGGATGTAGACACCCCGACCCCAATGCTGTATGTTGCTGTAATATTCTTTCTTACTATAGAAAAAAGTCGTGGGTGTGAAGTCAATGTGGATTTTGACAATGACATTTCCAAAGGTACACTAGAGGCTGCTGCCTGGGTGACATGATAGGGCAGCGAGACCAGACCAAGAGCTGTTGAAGAAGAAGATGGAAAAGGCCATTCAATCCTAAGGGCTTGCTTTAGGGGAGAGGCAGGGGAGATGAGGCAAAAAAGCCTGATGTGGAAGGAAAGACACATGTTTAAAGAAAGTGGTGAGCAGAGCCAGAGGCATGAGGGCCATGCCCTGTGTATTGGATTGTGGAAAATAGGGCTGGGAGAAGTAGAAACTGATATAGCAGGGCACGATGAGAAAGACAGGATGGAGAGTACCATGGAAAATGGTGTGGTCATGGAAGGCCCCAGAAAAGAGATTCTTGGGATAAAAAACTAGGATGTAATTTTTTTTGATAAAGATTATGAGGTTAGTGGATCAGAGTAAAGCAAAGGATGACCATGACCACAAAGTATTTTACCAAGTACCTCTCCATGCCCTTGTTTAGGTGGGTTCAAACTGGTTGAGTGAACTTAGCTGGAAGACATGGCCCGGTGGGCTCCTGCCAGCCGGGAGGGCGTCATGGCTCTGCCCTCCGCAGCCTTTTTACAAAGCAAATACTCTGACAAGGCTCTGACACTCTATGTCACCAAAGAAGGATGTCCTCTCCATTTCCTCATTGTTTAATTGACTGTTAATGTGGGATTCCTGGATGAGCCTGGGGGTGGTCCATGAATCCTCTGAGATTATTATACTAGGAATATCCACTTACATTTCTGTCTCCTTCATTAGAACAGCCTATGAGCAACCTGAGGGGGTGAAGCAAGTTGAAACTAGAAAAAGAAAAGCAGCGTATGTATTGATCCATGATTGAGCCATAACTCATTCACGTGACACTTATTGAGTATCTCGAACATGCTCGCAGTTGAGGACCAGGCACACAGGAAATTAGCAAACAGCAAAATAATAATAATGATTGTAATGTGCTGTGATAGAGGAAGCACATAGGAGGGACATCTAATGTCACCTGGAGAATTGGGGGTTTTCTTCCTCAAGAGCAAACATCAGCTGCTTCTGGAAAGAGACGTGAGAGTTGGGGGGTCCAGAGGGGGACACAGAGAAGGGCATTCCAGGAGCAGAGATGAGGAGCAACATGGCACATGTGTCAAAGGCAGGTTGTTTGGGATGGTGATGGTGAAGGGTACCTGTGAGGGCTGGGGGTAGACCTGGGCAGGTGGTCACAGGCTTTCTATACCACACCAGGAATTTAGATTTTTATCCCCAAGGCCACTGGGGCCATTAGAAGATTGAGAGTAGGGAGTGGCATGATTGAATTTCTATTTCGGAGGAGTTATACTGGCAGCAGTGTGAAGGATGCAGTAAGAGGGGCCAAGATGGTGGGCAGGGAAGTGTCGTAGAAGGCCACCTCAGTCATCCGGGTCAGAGACCGTACTCCGCGTTGTCGCTCACGCCTCTTGCTGGCAGGAGCGCATGGCGCCGCCACTCGAACTACTGCAGCTCCCGCAGCTGCTCCGGCAGGGACGCGGGGGCCGCAGGGTCCTCTCACACCACGAAAGCGAGGATGAGGTCGCTGAGAGCCGGGAGCGTGAAGAGAGAAGCGGCCCAAGGAGGAGACGCAGGTGTGAGAAGTGGAAGACGAGTCTGTGAGGAGTGCGGGGAAGTCACAGAGGAGCAGAGGCAGGGATCTCCGCTAGTCAGTGAGGGAAGAGGCGGAGGAAGACAGGACTCGCGAGCGTCTCTATTGGTGGCCGGGAGCCTGTCCCCGCCACCGCCACCTGCCTCTTCCGCACACCCTGGTTTGACTGAGTGGCGCCAGCGGAAGGCAGAGAGGGTGACTGTCTCTCCTGAGGCCGGCTTCGATCTCGAGTGTTTGAGAAACACTTCAACTCTCAGCCAAGGACACAGGTCAGTGACAGGCGCCTTTTGTCAAGGACGCCGCCTGCGAGCCTTCGCCACAGGGACAAGCCGGCTTGTTGGAGTCAGTTGTCAAACAGTAAAACACAGGCAAAGGTACAACATGCAAAAATACCGTACTGCTATCGAAACGTGCACTGAGTCACACCTGATGGTCTCAGACACCCCTCATACTTTCAAATTAGCAGAAATGGGGAAGGAAAGAGGAACCTCGCCTTTCAGTTCTCCTCATATATTTTTAATCATTTCCTCCTCGGTTCCTGTGCAACCGCCCAGCGGCCGCGGTGGTGTGTGTTCGGTGGCGTGCGGGTGACCCACACTTGTCTCATCATCCAGAGGGGAGGTGAGAACGGCTGCCCCCCACCCTTCTGTACCTGCCTGGTGTATGTGGGGGAGACGTAGCCCTTGCATGCCACCTTCTCCCCCGATTTAAAATGTCAAAGCGTTTCTCAAATCAGGTGTTGGTGTTAACAACTCTCAACGAGCTCTGGGAGGCTTCAGTGGCTGTTAGTACCTTACAGTGTTGCTGAGGAGCAACTGCCCAGCCCACCCGGGGTGACGGCCTTCTAAAAATCCACGAGCAGAACTATTTTGAGTTATGAGTAAGATTAGGGAAAAACCGGTTTCTGCTATTTGCCTATTCTTTGTCAGAGACACAAGAATTTATATGCATCTTTTCACCCTCTCCCCCATCTTCTTGCAGCTATTTAAAGTATTTTACAAAGGAGAAGTTCCAAGAAGGAGCTGGGACTAAAAGGTATCTATAAAATTCAGATGTCTTTTGGTACAGCCATTATGGAAAACAGTATGGAGGTTTCTAAAGAAATTAAAAATAGAACTACCATATGACCCAGCAATCCCTCTCCTGGGTATATACCCAAAGGAGATGAAATCACCACCGCGTAAAGATATCTGCACTCCCATGTTCATTGCAGCATTATTCAAAGTAGTCAAGATATGGAAACAACCTAAATGCCCAACAACAGATGGATGGTTAAAGAAATTATAGGGTGCATGTGTGTGTGCAAAATGAAATATTATTTAGCCATACAAAAGGAGATCTTGCCATTTGCTACAATTATCAATGGGCCTGGAGGACATTATGCTAAGTGAAATAAGCCAGACACAGAAAGAAAAGTATCGCATCTGTGGAATTAAAAAAAGAGAGCGAGAGCTCAAACACAGAGAATGAAACAGTAGTTACTGCAAAGAGCAAAGGGCAAAGGGCAAGGGTGTGGGGAGAAAATGGGAGATGTAGGTCAAAGGATACAAAACAGAGCAAGTCTAGAGATCCAATGTACAACATGAGGACTAAAGTTAATAAAATTGTATTCTGTTAAGGATTTTTGTTAAATAAGCAGATTTTAGCTGTTCTTTTCTCTCTCTCTCTCTCACACACACACACACAAAAGTAACTTATGTGAGCTGATAGATGTGTTCATTTCTTTCACTATAGTAACCATCGTACTATCTATATATGTCCCATAACATCATGTTGTAAACCTCAAGTGTGCACAAGAAAATTAATTAGAAAATAACAAACAACAACAACAGAAATTCAGATATCTTTTCCTGTAAAGCTCAGAGGTTCTCCTGGCATTGGCAAAGACCTAAATAACAAATATGTTCTCCTCACTTCCTGTAATTGCAAAGGAAAACAGTCCCAGCATTATAGGAATCTCTCTCAGTGTTCTCTGAAGGGTCATTTTTCAGTTGAGAGTAAAGCACATGCTCAAAGAAGTTTCAAGTAATTCTCATTAGCACTGCTTATCTTTAGTAAATCTGGGGATTGACCGTAGATAAAGATCAGACTGCCCTGGCAGAGCTCCCAGCCATGCTAGCCACTTGCCAGCCACGTGCATCAGCCCCCTAAAGATGGGTCCTCAGGCCCAGGACAGTCACCCCAGCTGGCGGCTAATGCCACAGGAGCAGAAATGACAGGTCCCCACCGACCTCTACTCAAACTGCAAATTTCTGAATAAAATATGATTGTTATTTTTTAAAGTTTTTAATTGACAAATAATTTTGTGTATTTATGGGGCACAATATGATATTTAGATATATGTATACATTATAAAGTGATTAAATCAAGATAATAAACATATCTATCATCTCACATGCTTATTTTTTTGGTGGTGTGAACATTTAAAATCTACTCTTAGCAATTTTCAAGTATATGATATATACTTGACTGTAGTCACCATGTTGTACAATAGATCTCCAGAATTTTTTCCTCCTGTCTCACTGACACTGGTACCCTTTGACCAGCATCTCTTGTCCCCCCATTCCCCGCATCCCTGCCAACCTCTGTAACCACTGTTTACTCTCTACTTCTATGGGTTCAACATTTTTAGATTCCACAAATGAGTGAGATCATGAAGTATTTGTTTTTCTGTGCCTGGCTTATTTCATTTAACATAATGTCCTCCAGTTTTATCCATGTTGTTACAAATGACAGCATTTCCTTCTTTTTTAAGGCTTAATAGTATTCCATCATGTATATATACCACATCGTTTTTCATCCGTTTGTCCATTGATGGACACTTAGGTTGCTTCCACACCTTGGCTATTGTGACTTGTGCTGCAGTGAACATGGGAGTGTGGATATCTCTTTGACATGCTGATTTCTTTTCCTTTGGATATATCCCCAGAAGTGGGATTTCTGGATCCTAAGATAATTCTATTTTTAGCTTTTTGAGGAACCCCTATACTGTTTACAATTTTGTTTTTTAAAACCATGTTGTTTGGAGGGTTTGTTACACAGCAATGGGCTATGAGAACACCCAACTTCCAGGATATCATGCTCCTGGCTTTCTTCCTACTTAACTGTCACTCTTTCTTGGTCTTCTTCGGTAACTTCCTCCTAATCACTCTGTCTTTGTTTTTCACTTTTTAGTATGCAAAATTTTAGTCATACACAAAGTGGATGGCAAAGTATAATGAACTCCATGTTCCTGTTACCCAGCTTCAATTTTTACCTACTCAGAGTTGATCTCATTTCATCCTTGACCCGACCTGCTTCCCTCCACTCCACCTCACATTATTTTTAAACAAATTCCCAAGATACTCTTTTCTCTGTTATATACCCTTAGTGATCTCACCTGGTCTCATAACTAAATATTGTTCATGTGCTTCTACTCTGAACAAGCCTCCCTCGGGATGTACTGCATGGTTTATCTGGTGGCATTCTACATTAATGACCGTTCTACAGTTGGGGCAATACCCAAGAGCTCTGAATACTAGAAGGCCACTTCTGCCCTCTCCACTCACTTCACCCGTGTACTTCCTCTCGATTCATTTCCTAAAGGCCATCAGGGAGCCCAAGGCATGCCCTGAGACAGAAGAAAGTATAGATCCCCCCAGACCATGTACTTCCGAGGGAACCATGTCTGGGGCTGAGTCCACATCCAGTTCAGCCCTGCCCCTGGTAGGACGACATAGGAAATGCCATTTTTCTGGGACTGAGTCTATATCCTCAGTCAGCCCCCTCTCAGCAGGGCCACTTCCTTTTTTATTCTTTCTTGAAGACTCCTGATGTATTAAAGAAATTAACAAATGCCAAAAAAAAAAAAAATACTGTAGCATCTTGGATCAAACATAAATTCTGGCACTTATATGTCTAGATTCAAATCACGGCTTTTCCACAAACTGCCTTTGTGACCAAGTTACTTAACCTCTGTGTGCCACAGTTTCCCAACCTGTGAAATAAGAGATGATAACATTTCCTACTACCTCTTAGGGTTGTTGTGAGGATTAAATGAGTTACACATGTAACATGCTTAGCACAGCCCCTTTACACATACAACTCTTGCATTTATTCTTGGAATTCCAGGCCAGACTTCCTGCCTGAACTCCAGGCTTAGATATCCAACTTCTTACTTGGTATTCTCACACAGATATCAAATAAACATCTCAAGATTATTATTCTAAAACCAAACTCCTGATTTCTCCCCAATCCATACACAGCTCCTCCCTCTGTCTCCCATCTCACTTAATGGCATTTCCATCTTTCCATTTCTTAGCCCCAAATGCCATGACGTCATCTCTGACTTCTCTCTTGCTTTCACATCTTACATCAAACCCTGTTTGCTCTGCTTTCAAAATATAATACCATTACTGCTCTTATAGAGCCCTCCATCATCTTTTGCCTGTGATGTTACAATATCTTCCAAACTGGTCTGCCTGCTTCCACCCTTTCCTCCCTCCCTCCATCTCCCCGGCCAATAATCTGCTTTCAATACAGCAAGAGTGGTCCTTTAAAAAACAGTCAGATCCTGCCACTCATCTGTTCAAGACCCTTTAGTAGCTTCTCATGTGATTCAAAGTGGACACCCAAATCCCTGCAATCCTCTCTGATCCCATCACTGCCTATATTCACTTATTTTGTTCCAGCCTTGCTGGTCTTTCTCTTGACTATGCCAATAGGGCTCCCACTGTACATCTTCTATCCAGCTGTCCCTCTTAAAATTCTCTCTGCCCAGATCTGTGTGGCTAACTGCCTCTCTTGTCTTGGCATCTCTGTTACCTTCTCATTTAATGGAGTTTCTGCTCATTAAGCTTCAGTCCTGGCCAACCACCCCACTCCCAGCTTCAACACTCTTAATCCCTTTTACTTTGCTCTATGTTTTCTTTTGTCCTTGATGTTTATCACCTTCTAACACACTTCATAATGTACTCATTTATTTTGTATATCATCTACTCTTTGTCTCCCTTTACTAAAATGTAAGCTTCATGAGGGTGTCTTTATCTGTTTAGCTCACTGCTGAATCTCAAACACCTAGGACAGATCCTGGCACAAAGTAGACAATAGATAGATAGATAGATTGGTAAATCTTTTAGAAATATCGCTCACGAAGCAATTTAGAAGGTAGTTTGAAGGGGAGAGGGAGTAGAAACTCTTAAAATCTGTGCAATAATCTTTGCAAGAAATGATGATGAGAGCTGGAGCTGGGAGATAAATAGATATTTTTGGTAGAACCAATAGAAGTGGATCTCAGTCTGGTTATGAGTGGGAGAGAGAGGACAGAGACAGTTGTCAGTGATGACTTTCAGATTTCTGGCTTGGGTCAATATAGGGGGTGTCACATGGAACAAGC